ATGCGGAGTTTTGCGCATCGTGCGTGTGCATGTGTGTGTGGGTGGGTGTGTGAGAGAGAGCGCGAGAGAGAGAGACACATCACAGTGGAGTCAGCTGTGTTAACCGTGACTTGTGTACTGCAAACACATTCATCACTGTGTCGGTCACGCGACTCTGTTCCCCTTTCGGGCTCTGTCTTTACATTTATTTTGAAAGATGAAGCTGCGATTATGGTAAGGGGTGTTACATTTCCGACGAGTGCTTGCGGTGTTCGGCCAATCACAATGCACTGGGTCAGCTGGCCAATCAGAGCAGACTGGCTTTTTTGAAGGAGGGGCTTTGTAGAAAACGAAGCGTTTGAGAGAGGCGGGGCATAGAGGGCCTACAATAATGTACAGTATTTGAAAAATAATGAGTTTTTTGAACATTAAAGCATGTCAACATATTCTGTTACACCAAATACACAAAATAATGATCTTTAAAAAAAGCATCATATGACCCCTTTAACATTTATTTTGAGAGAGGTATTATTTTTCAGATCTTTACCCAAAATAGGATGGACTGGCCATTATTGAGCGATATAAACACATAATGTGTGTTTCATTCATACTGGATGCCAGAGGGCGCCCTCGTGCTAAAAATCCACATATACATCACAGAAGTAACACTGATGACGTTCCAGGAAATCCCTAATATGGATAAAGGCATGGCTATCACTGTAACTGTATAAATGTAAGGACAATAAACACACGCCTGCACACACACACAGCCAATTCTGAGAGAAATAAAAACACACGGGCATTATTTAAATGCAAAATCGAAATACCACAATTCACAAGCACGTATTGAACTGTGGATGTCGTACCGAATGATTCTATATTATATTGAGATTTGTGACATCCCTAGTAATAACTATTAATAATATTGTTTGTGAACACTTACTGGACTAAAGCAACTTAGGTTTACTTGATCATCCATACTTAATCTTTTAGAAAAACTTTTTCTTAAAATGTGTCAAATATGATCATCAGGCTTTTGAGGAATGTTTATTTGTTTATCTCTCAATTGTCATTTGTACTGCATTATATGTTTTGCCCCACAAATACTAGAGAGCTCTGATCATGAAACTAAGCATTTTAATATCATCTTACTATAAAGTATTATTTGTATATATAGAGTGAAAACTGATATTTATATGGATTTTATGCAAGTGGTCTGCTACACTGTTATAAAGAGCTCATTGAATTACAAGCTATCTGAATTTCACCTTACTTTTTTGCCATATAAATATCAGAATCTGCTCAGTTTGGTCCTCTGAATAAAATTAGGTGTTTTTTTCCTATATCATACTGCAGTATATTAGTCATAAAAGTATATGAGCCTGACATATTAAATAATAATAATAATAATAAAAAGAAAACACACAAAAAAAATTAAAGGTGCAATAAACCGTTCCATTAATTTTATTTTTTTAAATCTGACATTTATTTCATAATTCAGGCTTCGCAGGGTTAAAAAAAGCCATCTAAAATTCGAACCAGAAATTTTACCCTGTTTGTTGGGTACTACAGTATTAGCAAGACTTTTTGGACAAGCATTGCTGTTGAACTGTGAAGTATCATGTAAATGACATGGTGCATGAGGAATATGTAAATCATTCAGTGCCATAGTATCAGCTTTAGCAGTTTAGTAGTTTAGTAGTTTAGTTTTATCATTTGTTTTTGTGTGAATGGTCAAAGTCACAAAGCGAAACCTAACTAAAACAGTAACAGTTACTAATATTTTCAAACTCATATCTAGTGTTTGTCATGTTGAAATGAAAAATCTAGTCCAAAAGGCACAAGCATATATTGGTGCAATATATCAAAAACTGATTACCATGGAAACTATTACCACAGAGACAGGTGTATTTAATTACTTCTGTCTGATTAATTTTGTTTGTGGAGGAAATTAAAATTAAATGAAACTTTAAAGCAGTTTGCAGTTCACAAAGGTATTTTGACAAGTGTGTCATACATTTACTATCTAATGCAATTATTTTCTTTGTGCTGTTCATCTGATTGAGCTCCAGTCTCATAATTGCACAAGATGACAACAGTTTAATTGTTTAATAAATGATTTGGAGCAGCAAAACAACGCAAATAACACATTCTTAGCTACTGCATGTGCAAGTTAATAATAATAATAATAAAAAGAAAACACACAAAAAAAATTAAAGGTGCAATAAACCGTTCCATTAATTTTATTTTTTTAAATCTGACATTTATTTCATAATTCAGGCTTCGCAGGGTTAAAAAAAGCCATCTAAAATTCGAACCAGAAATTTTACCCTGTTTGTTGGGTACTACAGTATTAGCAAGACTTTTTGGACAAGCATTGCTGTTGAACTGTGAAGTATCATGTAAATGACATGGTGCATGAGGAATATGTAAATCATTCAGTGCCATAGTATCAGCTTTAGCAGTTTAGTAGTTTAGTTTTATAATTTGTTTTTGTGTGAATGGTCAAAGTCACAAAGCGAAACCTAACTAAAACAGTAACAGTTACTAATATTTTCAAACTCATATCTAGTGTTTGTCATGTTGAAATGAAAAATCTAGTCCAAAAGGCACAAGCATATATTGGTGCAATATATCAAAAACTGATTACCATGGAAACTATTACCACAGAGACAGGTGTATTTAATTACTTCTGTCTGATTAATTTTGTTTGTGGAGGAAATTAAAATTAAATGAAACTTTAAAGCAGTTTGCAGTTCACAAAGGTATTTTGATAAGTGTGTCATGCATTTACTTTCTAATGCAATTATTTTCTTTGTGCTGTTCATCTGATTGAGCTCCAGTCTCATAATTGCACAAGATGACAACAGTTTAATTGTTTAATAAATGATTTGGAGCAGCAAAACAACTCAAATAACACATTCTTAGCTACTGCATGTGCAAGTTTTCACATTTCAAGACAAAACTGTCAATCCCAGCGAGTGTCAAAAGGTTTCCTTTTGTGCTATATTCTCACTTCTTATTTACTCATTTAGATTCCCAGGAAAATCTGAAATTGTTTTCATAAAATATTACAGTAAGTTTTTTTGTTTGTTTTTTTAATCTAAATATCTTTATTTTTCTATTCTAGTTAGGACATGGTGCAAGATGCTTTAAATGAAAGCATCTGCTAAATGACTCCATCTGACTTTCATCTATTCACTACATCTAGAGATTTAAACATCACCAGTGAGGAGCAGTGACAATTACGGCTGACTATATTAAAGTCCAACTAAAATGCATTCAGAGAGCGACTCCTCACCTTTATTTAAATCATGTGTTATCCAGTACCTGTGGAGCACAGGACTCTCACACATTAGCAGCACTTGACCTTGGCATTATCATTTATTCTAATAATAAATCAAACCCTGAATACGGAATGTCTGCATAATTCACGATTTTCCTTTTAAAGGCCAATGAAAGTCTGACAACCAAACCCGTTGTCATCACCAACTTAATTTCGGAGATGTTTTTCTCCACTGTCTCTTTATTGAGCTAGGCTATATGCATGCAAATGTAAGTGAACAGTCTGAAGTTTGACTGAACAAAACACAGAGGCTTGTTTGTTGGGTTTTAGGGATGCTCATTTTAACCGGTTAATGCGTATAAGTCGCATTTTATTATTTCATTCAGAAATAGGCCTAATGCCAATGCGAAATGTTTACAAACATTATAATAAACA